CTACAAAGATGGAGACGGATTTTATTGCCTTGGCCATTTTCTCTCTGTGTATCTCAGTACTTTCAACACTTGGTGTTGGTGCTATTTATCGTTTGTCTTTAGGACCAAACCGCTTAGGTTCTCGTTTAGTAGTGATATATAAAACCGAACCATACCAAAACTAAACCAGCCTAACAAAATAATATTAGTTTGAATGTTTGACCTTGTGACTTTGAATTTTTTTCCCACCATCGGCATGACTTTGATCTGGATAGAATCGATGCAGTGGAATATCAAATATCATTGATATCAATATATATCATCAATAAACAAATATAAAGGTGAAATTAAATTGGTACGTGTGGTTACAGTTTGTAGATTAACTTTAAAATAAACAGGAACTATGCCGATAACATTACATATTAAACTAACATAGTAGGAAAAATTGTAATTTTGAAGTATCCTTTAAAAATTAAAATGGTTGACATGCATTTGGGATAAAAATTTATTATCCTACGTATTGTTTTTTTTTGTCAACAATAATATATGGAGTTGAATCTGGACGGTGACTGGTCTACAATTGTGTTTCTTTATAGAATTTTTCTTTTTTTTTTTGTCAATGAGATCTCAGGCCTTCACGAGTCAAAAACCAAAAAAGGTTTGTGTTGGGTGTGGTTGAGTTATTGGGCTTAGTTTACATACATTTGTCAAATTTAACGGCGTATTGGGTTTGGGAATAAATCTGATCTAGTTTGTGGAATTTTATTTTGTAGAAGTTAGTCCAAAATCTCAAAAACTAGTTGGTGCCTTGGTGGTTGCGTCTCGAATGCCGAAAGTTGGTGTGGTTGTAAACCGTTAAACTTATTGTTTATTATTTCACTTAGGTGTTGTTCGTTTACGTGTGTCTGGACGCAATATCTAGATGTATTATCTAGACGCAGTATCTAGACGTTGCATCCAGATGATGTTCGTTTGTGTTTTTGCTTTATGCATTCAAAAAATTATATCTATAACCAAATATGTTT